TAATTTATCATACTCATAATATATATAAAAATCAATTGCTGTTCGTTAGTCTCGCTAAAACTCAATAACGGTAGAATAGATTTATCTTGGTCTTAAAATGTTCATGGAGGTCCAGGGAAGGTTTAAAAGGTGAGAAAAAAACGAATAATTACAGGGGAAACCCTTAGGAACCTCTTTAGTAATACCGCGCGGACGGAGTCGCGGGCTACAGCTAGTTAAAGATAATTTGATCTTTATTTAACTGATGTTAATACCTCTTTATGCAACATTTAACATAACCATTTTGTAATGCACATTGTAAAACAATTCGAGTCACGCAATGGCCCGTTCGAAACAACACATTTGAACGACATGAGACTCAGTACCCGGTTTATGTTGCACACGCTAATCGCGTTGTACGATATTTGTGGAGTTTTAGGAAGAAAATCCGACACTGTGCCGGTGTAATGGCACAACACTTGCCTTACTAAAATGTCGACGTTTATGTCCCCTCACTAATCATTCTGACACTTGACTTTGTAATTGATTCTAACTAATCCACGTGGACGGAGTCGCGGGCGACAGCTAGTGATGTCTAAAATTAGCGAAAATACAAAATAAAGAGATGTAGAAACTTTATTACAGATCAGTTTTAGATAGATGCCACACGTAGGCTTTGTCGCAACGATTTATTTTTCATGTGCCCTAAATAATCTATCGTATTCTGACAAATAGAAAATTCTATAAGAGTGAAGCAGAGAGGAGATTCGGTGCAGTCTTTTCGTGGCAGACGTGCCAAACACAAGTGTAGAAGTTGACGAAATACATCGTACAAAAATTTTAACTTAATCTGTCAACAATATGAAACTCTTTTCTTAAGTAAAATAAAATATATGGTACATTTACTTTGGTGACATAAGAAAAGAATATTAATATTTGTATCATGATTTATAGATATATCGGATAAATTCCAAGACTTACCAATTATTTGGTCAATTCTAAAGATATTTTTTTTATATCATAAGGTGGCAAACGAGCGAGCGGCCGACTGAAATCGCTGAAATAGAGAAGTGACCGTTGCCCATGGACATACGCAATTGCATATGTGTTCATCATCAACTCACTATACGTCCCCACCGAGGGGCTTGAAGCCTACCCTAAGTTTGGGATGACTAGGCCATAGTCAACCACGCTGGCCAAGTGCGGGTTGGTTGACTTCACACATATCTTTGAATTTCTTCTCAGATATTTGCAGGTTGCATCACGATGTTTTCCTTCATCGTAAGAACGTCGGATAAATGTACATATGTAAATCTGAAATCGAAAAACACATTGGTACATGGTGGGATTCGAACCCAGGACCTGCAGATTGCAAGTCAAGTGCTTGACCCCTGAGTCACCGACGCTCTCATATGCGTTGCCTACCTTTAATCGACGAAGGAGAGGATGCACAGAAAGAAAATATTTTCCTTTTCATACATCCTCTCATCCGGAAAGTTCACTTTTACTTCCCATCCTTTCCTTATAAGAAAAAGGGTGGGAAGAGAAAGATAAAATCGTTTCTAACACCATTTTTAACTACAATAGTAACTAGTGTAGTTGAGAAAGCATGGCATTTGACTATTTGAAGAAAAAATTTGTACATTATGTTTGGATGATCAAATTATGTTGTCCATGTATTTTATATTCTCGTAATGGGTATGAATTTAATTTCCTCGACTGCGTAGTATACAAGTGGGTCAGTAAGTGTTCGTAACATTCAAAATAATGATGTAGTTAAATCTGAACAACATATTGTATCTCCGCCAAATTGTTTTGTCAAGGGGTTACTTAGTATTCCACTTTTGTCGCTATCTCGTTATTTTATGTGAAACATAGTGTACATAAATATGTACATGATTCATATAATATATAATAATAATAACATTATCTCATATTTACTTTGGACTGTTTATTTATTATCAATATTAATTAATACTTATCGTAAAACATATGTGTATTTCTAACTTACTAATATTATAAATGTGAAAGTTTAGATGGATGACTGGATGTTTATTAGAAGGTATGTCTATAACATCTCAATCGATCTCGCTGATATTTGGCATAGATGTAGAACATCTATCTCAAAGGCCGGCAACGCATCTGCGGTTCCTCTGGTATTGATGTACATGGGCGTCGTTGAACACCTCGGTGTTCCCGCTGCTCGTTTGCCCCCTTCTGTTATAAAAAGAAAAACATACTCGTAGTCTGGAAGAATATAGGTCACTAATTAAGTTTTTTTTTAATTGCATAGGTATGGTGTCGCGGGCGACAGCTAGTTTGGTATAAATATAGACTGTAACACAATATGACTGAAAACATAGGTTACCTATAATCATCATGATTTGTGTACGGCTCCTGTACAATACCTTTGATTCACATATTTACTCGATATCACCGCAACAATTCAACACATTTTATTGAAATTTGGCTTAGATATAGAACTTAGTGTCGAGTTACACATGAGATTCTTTTCAACCATTATTTGACTCTGCATAAACGAAGTCGCGTGGCGAAGCTAGTAAATAATATCTTATTTTTTAGGCATTTAACATACAACACACTTCTCAAAGTGTCAACTTTGAATCACAAAAGGTTTCTTTCAAAAGTAATTTCAAATATACATAGTAATAATAATAAACGAATAATACGTTGTGTGAAACGAATTGTTATCAGTCCATTAACGTTTTATGCGCGGAAATAAATCTAGTCGTATTCGAATACGCCGCAATGAACCACGTCTCCATTCCCACATAAAACTGTCTACCCTCTTCATGTTACGGACGATATCATTTTACGCATTCATTTATATTTTTTATAATACATGTGTAAGTATTTGATATATTTCCTTACTAACTGTCGCCCGCGACTCCTTCCGCTCAGATCCAAAAAAATATATAATAAGTAATCTATGTGTTCTTCCAGACTATGTTCTACATGTATGCCAAATTTCATCGAGATCCGTTCAGCCGTTCTGGAGATACCTTCACGCAAACATCTATCCATCCAAACATTCGCATTTATAATATTAATAAGATTAAACATAATTATTTTAAAGATAAGTGATATTTAATAAAATTACCATAAGCTACAATTATTTAAATATACTCATTGAAACTAAATTATGAGTAGCCAATTAATTATTTATTATAATATTAAAGAAGATAAATTAAAAATTAAACCAGCTTTAGTCATACTCTTATTAAAACAGTAAAATAACTAGATATTTCTTAAAAATGTCTCCATAGTTCGTAAGGACAGTTTGGTAAATGGCTTTAACGTATGATAAGCAACGTTATAAATATGACTCTACTTGACATAAATAGCGTAACTTAAGAACTGGTAAGTAATGGAGTTTAAGAATTAAGTTAGACAGCAATTGAGTCCTTTTTACTTCAGATATCTTTGTTAATATAAAATAACTTAGTACTAAGACATCTATTATGCTGTAAAAATGTCTTATTACAAGATGTATGTATATGTTTTACCAGGATAAACTTCGAAACTCGACTTTCAACAGTGGGAGTCGCCAGTAACAATATCTATTGCACCAATGTGCTAGTATCGTGCAACACCACCACGCAGAAGACACGCCTCAAGTGGAAGTAATTCCGCGTTTATTCTGATTAGAGTACGGTGGCCTAATTTTAAAATTCTTTCTCTTCTCACCCGTTCCTTGCGGAAGAGTTGGGTATCCACATTGGATTTAACGGAGGAAAGGAAGTGTTAATGTTCTCTTTCTGTGTGTCCCCTCCTCCATCGATTAATAGTGGGCAACGCATTTACAAATCCGAATTTCTATTTGCAGCGGTCGTTTCCCTCTTTCGCCGAATTTAGGTAACCGCTTGCTTTGCCAACTTATAATATAAAGAAAAACAAACTACTAAACTTGATTTTGGTCACTAAATGTAATTTTGTGTAACTGCATAGAGAATATTTTAACTTGATGATTGAATAAGAGTTAAGGTCCGTAAGAGTAATCGAGACGCGTAAGTAAGAAAAACACACTTCGCTTTTAAAAGTTAAAGTGGTACTGAAAGTAAACTTTTTACAGGCACTTCATAGTTTTTAAAAGTAAAAAGTTGTTTCGAAAAATGTAAGCTTCGTAATCATCCATGTTATAAAAGTTTACTTACATGTATTAAAATTTTACAAGGCCATTTCTAGGTTATATGACTCGTTGTAAGCATTCAGATGTGCCCAAACTTTTATGAAAATGACGCTTTAAAAGTGTAAAAGTATAAGTATTGCTAAAGCACGAAACTGTTAAAAACATTTCTAATGAAAATTTTTAAAATTGCAAAATATTTTAGTATTTTTTAAAAATTTAAAACACATCTTTGGCTAAAATTTAGCCGTTTAATCGGTTGATTTAGCCAGAGATGTGTAACGCGAGCTTTTAAATTTTGACAACAGATGGCGCTTGTGCTAAAAATTTAATTTCAAAGGAAACATGGGTCTGAATGCAAACTTCTTTTATGTTCGATGTGACTTATTCACTTTTATGTTTGGGAAAAGAGGGTTATTTAAATTTTAAAATACATCTGTACACAATAATGTTAAGCAAAATTTAAGATAAAGCTCTTTTTAATAAAAACTAATCGTGCTTTAGACAATTATTTGAAAAGCATATACATAGCTAATGTTATACACGATTTCCAGTAAACTGCGTTATTTTAGTCTCGCGACATCTTATTTAGGAGTATACATTGCTCATAAAAGTAGAAGTACAAGGACTGTCATAGTCATGTGTTGTGTCGCGCAGGTGAAAAAGGTCCTTAGATGTAGCCGTGTATCACCGATGATGTTATTGTTAAGCCCCCTAAAGACGGGTTAAAGCCCTCTCTAAGTTTCTCAAAGGCCGGCAACGCATCTGTGTTCCCTCTAATGTTGCGGATGTCTATATGAGTGGTCGATCACCTCGTTGTTCACAGCTATTTTTCTCCTTTCTATCATAACTAATAGCGTTTCATTTATTCCAGGAACTGGCAGCAGCAACACCAACACAACGTAACTGGCGAGGCATCCTCATCGCACTCCTGGTGATAGCAGCGGTACTTGGACTGATCGTGTTCAGCATAGCATTACTGACGCCTGCGGGGGACGGAGGCAGGGTGAAGGGCAGGCGGCCCACGTTGAACGACGTGCTTACTGAACACTATAAGCCTTTCAATGGAACTTGGCTTACAGGTAAGTGATTACTTACTTACTAATATTTTTTATGTATTACTAGGCGTAGCCCGCGACTCCGGTCGCCAGGATTCAACATAATAAATATTAAGATTAATAATTGAAATAAAAAGTAACCTATCATTAAAGTTGGACTAAATAACATATACTTACGACATGTGTTTAGAATTGGTGTTTACAACATGTGGTAGAATTAAAGGTAGGCAACGCTTATGCAATTGCGTGTGTCTATGGGCAACGGTCACTTCGCTATATCAGCGATTTCAGGTGGCCGCTCGCTAGTTTGCCCCCTTATGATATAAAAAAAATTGGTTCAGTACATCGTGACACAATTTTTTATATATAAAATACGGTGGCAAACGAGTAAGCGACCACCTGATTTGATAAAATCTCGAATTGGCTTCCAGAGACATCCGCAATTAATAAATTATTAACTAAAAATCATTCCACCAAGCTTGATAAGACTTCTTCTCGGTAGAACATACGTATTACAGAGAAGACGGCAAAAAATGTAATGCCATTCGTAATATTTCCGGCTCATTTTATCCGTAAGAAAAACATTTGTGCAAAAACACACGCAAAATAAACAGACTAAACGGTTTCTGTTGACTGTAACAATGTTTACTTGGCTAATGGACGAATACCGAAGCTAAGGAATTCGGAAAATTTAGTTAACTAACAACAACAACATAATCACGCCCGTAACCCAGAGGAGTAGGCAGAGACCACCATACATCACTCTTAGTTATTTATAAAATAAAAATAAAATTTACAATATTTTGATAGTGAAAATGACAAATCTATAAATTTCTCGTACTCAGAGTTTATAAGTGGTAACTAATAGCGCCCCTTAGTTTAGATTTATAAATGAGAAATCTATACTAACTGACTTATCAATCATTAGTGACCATTGGGTACTTAGGGAGACTGTCTTAGGTTTAATTTAGAGAATTGTACACTCAGAGTCGGCTTAAATAACCAATAAGAGACTGTGTACATTAAATCATTATCTTTACATACTTAGAAAATTATAAATCGATTTTCCACAACTTCAAACAGACATATTTATATTGTCTTATGTACTTACTTTATTCTCTGTTTGCGTTTAAAAATAAAAGCGTTCATTTGAAAGGATTTACTAAGTTAAATGAAAAAAGTTTTTCGTTTGAGTTACAAGCATTATTCCTTTTATATCTTAGAATACCCCTTGCTATAAATAACCATTTTATTCTCCAGTAAATTTCTATTATCAATTTTCAAAGTTTATGTAACTTTTATTTTATTACTAACTGTCGACCGCGACTCCGTCCGCGCGGAAAAAAATATAGTGCCCAGCAATTATTCCAATTTTTCTCAACTTTTAATTTCTCTCAAGACCTCCACCGCTCCAGTGACCGCGGCCCTTAGACATCCACATTTGTAAATGTGTGGCTTAACTTTAACCAATAGAGAAGCGGCACAGAAAGATAATTTCTCCTCTTCCTACGCGTCGTTTCCTTGTACGAAAACGGTTGGAAGGGGAATAGGAATAAAATTAGGCCTCCGTCACGCTCAATCCACAGACAAAACCCTGAATTGCTTCAACTTCACGCCCGGATTAAATCAATTTAATCCAACAGATTAAAAACAAGAATATACATTTTTTTTCTATTAACCTGCGCAACGCCTCGCATCGCTTCTAATTTAAAATTCAATTTCAACTTTTTAATCCACTTTACTGTATTTCAAACACATGTATATGACATATACAATTTTATTAAATAACACGCAGTAGAATCCTGAGCTTACGTACATCATTCTAACGCTTAATATGTTTCTTAGAAGAATTTGAACTATCGTTCTTTCTCTTTTCTTTTCAAAGAGTATGAGAGGGATGGCCTTATCTTACTAATATTATAAATGCGTATGTTCAGATGAATGGATGAACGGATATTTGAAGTTATCTTCTGAACGGTTAAACGGATCTGGGTGAAATTTGACATAGATGTAGAGCATAGTCTGAAAGAACACATACTAATTAAGTTCTTTTTAATTACGCGCGGTCGGAGTCGCGGGCAACAGCGAGAACAATAAGAAGACACCGTAATATAGTCTATGAAATTTCATCGTTTGTGGTCAAACGTGGTATTTCGTGGAAAAGAAATCCAATTCACGTTCCGAGCTCGTCCGAGCCGCAGCATATTGTCTAATTTTCCAAGCCAGCGGACTCCAGTCTGTCCGTTCAAGGCTTTTTAATAAAACTACTTTTTTCCTCCGTCCATAATGTTCACATTATTTATGTATAGTATACTTTGATGTTTTTCTTTTTACATCGTTTTACGGTCTAGGAAAATATTTTTCTTATAAAAATATCTAGGGAGTTGTTTCGTTTATAACTGTAGTTTAGTAAAAACTAAACACGTTTAAATAACATAGTAATATGTACATTTAGGAGCGTCAGTGGCTCAGAGGTTAAAGCACTTGACTTGTAATCTGGTCCTGGGTTCGCATCCCTCTATGTACCAATGTGTTTTGCGAATATTTAGATGGATTTTTGTTTGAAGGTGTCTCCGGTACGGTTCAACGGATAGCGATGATATTTGGCATACATATAGAACATACTCAGGAAGAACACATAGGCTATTCTGTGCAGACGGATTTTAATATAATAAAAAACGGTTTCCAATTTTATATATAACTTTTATCTAACAGCATTTTTGCTTTGAATACCACGCTTCAAAGAATGTGTTTTATGAAAATCAGAGTCGCGTTGACGGCAGCTTTGAGAACATTGTATAAAAGTTGCTATTTAATATACAACTCTACTAATAATTTAGTCTACGTAAGTATATTCGTGCATACAAGTCCTAATTTTAGTCCCTTTTCTTTCCCCACCCTTTTCTTATAAGAAAAAGATGGGAAACGAAGTGTATTACGCGGATTTTCTTTTACTGTGCGCCTTCTCCGCCTTCGATTAAATCTAGGCAACTCATCTGTATATGCGGTTGTCTATGGGTAGCGGTCGCTTCGTTTTTTGGCGAATTCAGATAACCGCTTGTTCATTTGCCATTTTATGACATAAAAAGGTATATTTAACAACCTTTTTAATTTTAGGCTAACATACTTTAGTAACTGCATTACTCAGAGTTGTTAAAATTATTTAAAAAATCTGATACGAAATGAAACTATTAACTACAATTAGTAACCCCCTAACTTGACTCTAAGTACGGTGGTAATAATAAATTTAATCCTAACGTTACAGTAGTAGGTAGAAAAGTGTAATTTTTTGGTGGTATTTTCCTCTTTTGTGCAAAAAATAACTCCAAAAGGGATATAAGCATCAAAAAGAAATCATACAAAAAGTAGTTTATAAAGGCCAATTATAAAACTATTCATTAATTAACAATAACTTTAGCCATTTATTTTGTAACCTTCTAACTCTTCCTATTTCTATGCCCTTGGGAAACAAAAGGTTCACACAAAAACAATTGGGAAATCCTTAGCGGTCTGTAATTTAATTAATTACTTAAGTCTGTCTTCATATGTTTCTCATTAATCACAAGAAACTATGTAGAGAACTAAAATTGAATATTTTCTTACTAATATTATAAATGCGAAAGTTAAGATGAATGGATGTTTACAAGACAGTATCTTCGGAACGTCTGAACGGATCTCGCTGAAATTTGGCATAGATGTAAAACATATAAGCTAAATCTAAAAGAACATATAAGCTATTAAGTAAGATATTTTAATCTTTCGTGGACGCAGTCTGAGACAACTAATAACATTGTACATACAGACTTACATATATAAAAGAAAGTCGTGTTAGTTACACTATTTATAACACAAGAACGGCTTTACTGATATAGCTGAAAATTGGTTAAGAGGTAGCTTAGAGTCAGGAGACGGACATAGGATACTATTTATTATTATTTTTTTCGAATTTATGCCTTGAAGAGCTGCTTTTTATTTAACTTACTAATATTATAATTGCCAATGTTTAGATGGATGTGATGTGGATGGATGGATGGGCGTTTGATGATATCTCTAGAAAGGCTGAACGGATCTCGATTAAATTTGGCATACGTGTAGAACATAGTCTGAAAGAACACATCAATAATTAAGCTTTTTATATATCCACGCGGACGGAGTCGCGGGCGACAGCTAGTTTATAATAAAATTTAATTTATTAAATTAAATCGTAAAAGTTCTAAATAAAAGCGTATATACAAGATTTATTACAGTTATGAATTTATTAAAGAAAATTGCTTTTTCTCAAACTTTACCAACTAGAGATGCATTCTAAAAGCGCATGGATTGGAGAGAAGCCAAATTTCATTTGCTATGTTTATTTCATTAAATAAATTCATTTTAGCATTTAGGTATACGAATAAGTTAATAAATAAAATAAATAAAACGCTTTTACGTGAATTAAATTAATTCTACTTCTATCTTAAAAATATACATTTTTTTAAATATTTGATCCGTAATCTTATCTTCTACTAATATTATAAATGTGAATGTTTAGACGTTTGTTTAAAGGTATCTCCGGAAAGACTGAACGGATCTCGATGAAAGTCGAGGGCGATAGTAGTCTATAATATTTTTTTTTTTAAAAGAATAGCTTGTTAATTACAAAACTAATTGCTTGTTTTTTTTTACATAATTTGTGTTTTTGTTAATAAATAAATAAAATAAGTCAAATCTTTCTCAGACAATTTGTTCGGACAAAGTTATGAATTATATTGGCCCTTTTGTTTTGCTATTTCGCCGTCACAGGCGCACGAAGGTTTTCCATTTTTTTTTACGTCGTAATGGGAATTCTTTGTACGATGAAAAATATTGGCAAAGGTTTCGGGTACGGTTGAAGAAATATGCGTTGTTTTTGTAGGAGTTTTGCAAACGCTCTACGTTTATTTAAAATGGGAAAAAATATGGAAAGAACATGTAACATCGTTTTGAATTTATCAAAATTCAGTTTTATAAATATTATAGAAAAAAGACCTAATTTATCATCACCT